CAATTTAGATTTGGCATGGCTTTGTAAATTGAACAATTTTTTATCAAACTCGGCCTCCATGTCTCAAGTTTCCATTCCCTTGTAACACAATCTAACCACTTAAAACTAGGGAATGTGCTAAGACAATATATTTTGGACAAAAAAATCAAAAGGAAAGTTATACAAATTCTTGTTTTTCCTTTTTGAAAAACACTCAAATCTCTACACATTAATTTTCAACAATGGAAACCATGTTAAAGAAGAGTCCCTAGAAAATGTTGACACAATGTTTCTCTCCTGAGATAGAAACAAAATGAATCTCATGATATTCAAGTATGTCAGTATCACTTTGCATATCTACACCAAAAACAATATATAAATCAACCATGTGTGATTGACTGTACATTCTCTTGTGTCGTCATTACCTTTATACATCATGAAATAGCAAATTATTGATCATTTGAATGGAAGATTTACAAAACCAACAAACAACAAAATACCAAGTGTAATCCCACAGGTGAGTCTGGGGACGGTAGAGTGTACGTAGACCTTATCCCTACCTTGAGAGGTAGAAAGGCTATTTCTGAGACACACTTGGCTCAAGGAAAACATATAAAGCGGATCGAGAAAGGGAAGATTACAAAACCAACAACATCATATCCAGTGAAATCCCATAAGTGAGGTATGGGGAGGGTAGAGTGTTTATAGACCTTTACCATACCATGGGAGGCAGAGAGGTCATTTCTAATTGACCCTTAACTCAAGGAAAAGCACATCAAAAAAGGAAAGTTTTACATAACCATGACAAAAAATCTTAAAGGGAAAGTCATGAAAGATCTTGTTTTTTTCCTTCAAAAAACTAATCATAACTCTAAAAATTAACTTTACTAAACACAAAGCATGTTAAAAAAGAGTACCCAAAAACGTTAGCACAACTAGCAAAATCTGATGATCACAAAACACAGTCAAAACAATCTTCTGAGTGAATCAATCTACAGTTATAAGTTGTATCACCTATGAAAACAAACATTCAACTAAAAATGAATCAATCTACAGTTGTAAGTATATATATGTGTGATTCCTTTTTGGTTGAATGCTTGTTTTCATAGGTGATACAATTTATAACTGTAGATTGATCCACTCAGAAGTTTGCTTTGATTGTGCTTTGTGATCATCAGGTTCTGCTAGTTGTGCTGATGTTTTTTGGTACTATTCTTTAACATGCTTTGTATTTAGGAAAGTTAATTTTTAGAGATATGATTAGTTATTTGAAGGGAAAAAGTAAGATTTTTCATGTCTTTCCCTTTGAGATTTTTTGTCATGGTTCTGCTTTCCTTTTTCGATCTGCTTTGATATGCTTTTCCTTGAGTTGAGGGTCAGTCAGAAATGACCTCTCTACTTCCCAAGGTATGGTAAGGTCTATAGACACTCTACCCTCCCCATACCTCACTTGTGGGATTTCAGTGGATATGATGTTGTTGTTGGTTTTGTAAATCTTCCCTTTCTCGAATCATCATTATAGCTTCCTTTTGATTTCTTGTCCAGGATATATTTTGACTTAGCACATTCCCTAGTTATAAGTGGTTAGATCGTGTTACAAGGGAATCTGGGTTTTTCCTTTTCTTTAGATAACATATGTTGGATTAATAGAATTTCTTTCCCGTTATGTGGTACAAGGCCATAGATCTTTTTTTTGCATCACTAACAAGAATAAAAATATATACTCAATGATATAATTTTTTCTTATCTTGAGACAAATAGTTTTCTTCTTTGTTGTCTTCTTTCTTATTATAATTATAAAACCTTCCGTCCGATAGAAAAGGTAAAGAATGCAAATGCTTTCATAATATGCTTCGTATCTCTGTGGACTTTTGTGGTAGTATACCACATGTACCTTCATGTTTGATCCTTTTACTAGTCACTCATGACTTTTTTTTGTGAGGGGATCTCTTCCCTTTTAAGTCTTTCTTGCCTACTAGGTTTCATACGAAGGACATAGGCGAGTTGAAATACTTTTTGGAAGTAGAAGTGAATAGAAGAAAGAAGGAAATTTTTCTATCACACAGAAAGTACATTCTTGACCTACTTGTAGAAACTGGAAAATTGGATGCCAAACCCTGTAGTACACTACTAGTTCACAATGTGCATCTTATGAAAGATGATGGAACCCCTTTTGATAATCGAGAGATATTTAGAAATTACGAATGTTAGGATCAAGCGGAATTAATGTACCATATGACTTTATCAGTTTCTCACTCACTTAAGCATATTATCTTAAGATAATAAACAACCATTCTATACCCTCCATGTTCACAAATGAACCACCCAACACCAAGGTGAGTTATAATACAACAAGGGTGATAGTTTAGGTAGGTAAAGCGAACAATGATAGTTGAGGTATGAAACTCGCAAAAAGTGATAGTTTGGATGTGTTTTTGACCATTAACTCTTAGTAAAATTATTTACCTTATCCAAAAAGACAAAAACTCCAAAATAAGATGCCGTTACGCCCTTTGTCCCTTGTGAAAACTGAAGGGCAATAATTCACATTAAATGGACACAAGCAGCTTGTAAGCAAACATGTGGAACCTAATAAGCCAAGTAAAGATAATATGAACTCGAAACTTGCATATTTACTCAATAAAACTTCCTACTAATCACTAGAACTAGACCTAATTTATAGAAAGTTTTTGTTTGTCAATGTCCAATAATTTAAGCCGACAGCCTAATAAGGAAAATTTCAGAGATTATCTTATCTATATGATTTGTTGTAGCTTCAGATCCATTTTCAGAAATGAAAAACTACACTTATGCCAGTTCCATTGATAGTCACATACTATGATTAGCTGAACCAACCTTAGCAGACATATTAATAGTTATCCGGACCAACCTTAACAAGTGTTATTAATGCCATTTGGCTCCAATATAAGAACACTCATGAACTTGCAAACACTAAATCAAATATCCTTAATACAATAGTTTAAAAGTCGACCTGCAGAACAAGTATAAGTTATTCAAAGGAAAGAACTGGTCACCTAATTTAAATGTGCTTCACTCAATCTGACAGCATGATAGAAGTTGTCGCCTTGGATAAGACCATTCTTTTGCTACCTGGGACTCCTCCTTTCCCACCAAAAGGTAAAATGGATATTCTTGATTGCTCTGTATTAATAAAGAAATATGCATACATTTCACTAACTGAATATCCTACTTCTGAGTATCTTTACAAAGTAAAAAAGCATAATTCAGAAGAAAAAACTAAACTAAAAAAAGCTAAAACACAACTTAATTACCTCGAATTTCAAAGGCAGCTGGTCATTGATAAACTACGATCATATTAACTCTAGCAAAATCCTGTCCAAAAATATCATGAATACAAAGCTACATAGTCCGAGAACAACAACATAGTGGGAGAACTAATAGTTTTTTATTCTTCTAGCCCATAGATCCACTCTTCTATTAGTTCAAGTTTAGG